GTCCGCAGTTGCTCCGGGTGCTGTTGCTTGTTGCTGGCAACCCCGCCGCCGCCGCCGCGCTCTCCCGGGGAAGGAGGAGGAGGGAGGGGGGGTCGCCTCCGGAGCCGAGCAGGTTGTTCGCCCGGGCGCTGCTCTCGCGATATTTTTCTTTTTCGGACGCGCCCCCCCTCCCTCCTTCCCTCCCCGCCTGCCTGCCTGCTTGCGCGCGCTCGGTGCGCCCGGGTCTGGGTTACCGTAGAGTGAGAGAGAATGTGTGTGTGTGTATGTGTGCGCGCGCGTCTTCGGTGTCCTCGCGTTCTCCACCCTCTCGCCCTCACCGGCCACACAATAGCCGAATCCTTTCTCTCTCCCCCCCCCCCCCCCCCCCCGCCGCCTCTCCTCAGCCGGTCCTTTCGTCTCCCTGACGCCGCTGCGGGGGAAAAAGGCGACGCGCCTGGGGCGTCTGAGGGCTACCCCGCCTGGCCACTTCCAACGGGGAAAAATAATGAGAATTTTTTAAAAACAACCGCCACCTTCTCCCCCCCCCCTTTTTAGCGGCTTCTCCTCACGCCTTTGCCCGAGCTTCTATGGAGAGGGGGGGCGTGCGTGCTGGGAGCAGCTGCTACTGCTCGGGCGACCTCCCCGGCTGGGTTTTGCATGTGTAAACCCTCCCCTCTTGTGCCTGGCCTCTCTCCCCCTCCGCCCGACTTTCCGAGCCCAAACTGGCCGGCTGCTGCAGGAGCTGGAAAGGAGGGGGGGGAGAAAGAGAGGTGTTTGTGTCCTTGTGGGGCTACGGTTATTACGGTACGGCCGGCCGGCCAGCGGGCGGCGTGTTTTCGCTGTCCAAACTCCGCTCCTCTCTAGCTTTGCAAAAGAGGAGCCTTTCAGGGCGCCCCTCCTCTTTTAAAGAAAAAAACCCGCAGTCATGCAGCCGTGGAGGTAGATTGCAAGGATTGCAAGATAGATCGTTGCGTGGAAGGGTTGGACCTTGCAAAAAAAAAGAGGAGTGAAGTGGCATCACAAAAGTGGATTTCTGCACCATGCAGAAAATGCACCGTTCTGCATTTAGTGCCCAAGCCCACAGACCTGTAGTCGGGGTTCTTTCTCTGAGTCCAGGAACAAACTCGCGCGGTTTGTTTGCAAACAGAACACGAGAGAAGAAGGGCCGAGGGGAGCCCGCCTCCCTCCCCCCCCCGCGCGCGCACACACACACCCCCTCCACCTTCGCTGCGCGCGCCAACCGGGAACTGCAAGCAAACGTGCCGCGAAAGTCACCAAGCGAAGTGGCGCGCGCGCGGGGGGGGGGGCGGTTTGCC